GGGCTAGGCAAGGGTAAGTGGAAGGAGGTGAGGGAGGAATGGGGTACGAGCCCCCGATGGGGAGGACTGGGCTGGCTCTGTGGGCTTCTGGGTGTGGAAGCTCTCCTGCAGCCCCCCAATTGCCCCTTCTCCCCAGATGGCAGCCTGTGGGAAGTGCAGCCGGTCTGATGGCCGAGTGCTGTGATGTGCCCAGTGTGGGCACTCCGGGCACTCCAAGCCAGGACTGGTTTTCAAGCGGGGCACCCCTGAGAACTGTCTGTCCGGGGTGGGGGTCGGGTCCCTTTAAGCACAGCCCTTGGCTAGCCTGAGACAGCATCTCCACGCTCTAAGTCCTCCTCTGATGCCCTGCCGGCACTGCTTCCGGCCATCCTTAAGCCCGGTTCAGGGTCCACTTAATGTGGACTTGCAAATTCGAATTAGCAAAATGCTAATTTGAACTAGTTTTTAGTTCTAGACGCGTTAGTTCGAATTAGCGCTGTAGTGTAGACATACCCTGAGATAATCTAGGACTGGGTTTAATTCATCTCACTGTAGGGGTATTTGCCCATGCAGTTACACTGCCTATTGTCATGTAGAATAGTGATAGAGATGTAGCCGTGTTAGTCTAGTCTAGCTGAATCAAAAAACAGGACTATGTAGCACTTTAAAGACTAACAAGATGGTTTATTAGGTGATGAGCTTTCGTGGGCCAGACCCACTTCCTCAGATCAAATAGTAGAAGAAAATTGTCACAACCATATATACCAAAGGATACAATTAAAAAAAATGAACACATATGAAAAGGACAAATCAAATTTCAGAACAGAAGGGGGATGGAGGGGGAAGGTAAATGTCTGTGAGCTAATGATATTAGAGGTGATAGCCTCTGCACCTAATAACATGGAAAAATCATACTGCATCCTCTCTGTTATCAATTCATAAAACTTTCAGTGATGCCATCATCCTCACCCATTGACAACTTGACATTCAGTCACACAAAGCTACAGCTGACCTGGGACAGCAGCATCACTGATATTGACTACAACTGTTATATGGAAACAAGCCAGGATTATATAGAGAAAGAGGTAAGTTTTCTATTTACTTGTTAACAGAAATAATTAACTGCACTTTTCCTTTTATACGCCTGATCTATTGACAAATATATATATTTATCACGTAGAATCATAGAATTATACGGCTGGGAGGATCTTCTAGAGGTTCAAGTCCTCTGCCCTCATGGCAGAACTAAGCACCACCTAAAGCATTACTGATGGATGTTTAACCTGCTCTTAAAATGTCCAAGGATGGAGGTTCTACAACCTTTCTAGGCAATTTATTCCAGTGCTTAGTCACTCTGACAGTTTAGGAAGTTTTTCCTAATGTCCAACCTAAGCCTCTCTTGCTGTAGTTTAAGCCCGTTGCTTCTTATTCTGTTATCAGAGAGACCATTTTTTCTCCTTGTAACAACCCTTTAAGTATCTGAATTTATCATATCCCTTCTCAGTCTTCTCTTTTCCAGACCAAAAAATGCCCCCAGTTCTTTAATTCTTTTCATTCTTTCACATACTTGCCGTAGTCACATTCACTTTCACTCTATGGGTATGTCTACACTACCACCCTAGTTTGAACTAGGATGGTAATGTAGGCAACCGGAGTTGCAAATGAATCCCGGGAATTGAATTTCCCAGGCTTCATTTGCATATTGCCGGGCGCCACCATTTTTAAATGTCCGCTAGTGCGGACTCTGTGCCCCGCGGCTACACGCGGCACGGACTAGGTAGTCCACGAGGAGTAACGGTAGTTCGGAATAGGAAGCCTAATCCGAACTACCTAGTTCATGCCGCGTGTAGCCGCGGAGCATGGAGTCCGCACTAGCGGACATTTAAAAATGGCGGCGCCCCGCAAGATGGAAATGAAGGCCGGGAAATTTAAATCCCGGGCTTCATTTGCAACTCCGGTTGCCTACATTACCAGCCTAGTTCAAACTAGGGTGGTAGTGTAGACATACCCTATGGGAATAATCATTTTCCCCTATCTTGATGACTGCCTTCTCAAGGTATTGTCACAGATGAAATCAGCACGTGTGACAGCAACTATCACTCAGTGCTTTCAAAATCTAGGGCTCCACATAAACTGGGAAAAGTCTTCCATTCACCCTTTCCAAAACATAGAGTTCATTTGAGCACAACTAGATTCTACGCCTGCTTGGGCCTATCTACCTGACGAAATATTCCCCACAATTCAGACTCTGGCCACAATGACTTACCTTGCCGCTCACACCACCGCCAGAGATTGCTTACTGCTTCTTGGCCACGTAGTTGCCACAACATTTGTAGTACTGCATACGTGACTTCACATGCATTGCCTACAGATTTGGTTTTTCAGAGCTTACAAACCTCGGAAACACCCCATGTCACACTCACTCCTTTGGTAGACAGAATCAGACAACCTTTGCATGGGCATCCCCTTCCGCTAGCCTTCCCCCTCATGCACGATTACAACTGATGCCTCTCTCACTGGATGGGGTGCTCATTTCTGAAATCAGACTGCCCAAGGCCTCTGGTCAATCCCAGAGATGTCCTTATACATAAATCTCCTAGAATTGTGCACCGTACACAATGCTTGCAGGCATTTCCTGCCTTCTATTGCCAACAAACATGTCCATGTCCTCACAGACAACATTGCCTGTGTTTTCTATATCAACAGACAAGGAGGAGCCAGATCTCCTTCCCTTTGCACGGAAGGCATAAAATTGTGGAACTTCTTTATCAGACACAATATCCACCTCTCATATCAGGCATCTCCAACTTGACAGCCAAAGCTCTCAGCAGGCATTTTCCCCAACATCACGATAGCACACTCCTTTTTTCACAGGTGGGACCGACCATCAATAGATTTGTTTGCAACATCACACAACACCAAACGCTGCTCAAAAGTGGGCATGGGGTCATGATCTCTGGGGGATGCCTTCCTCATCCAATGGGATCAGGATCTTGCCTATGCTTTCCCTCCCTACCGCTTCTGACCAGAGTTGTTTAGAAGATCAGGACGGACGGCTCCACAATCATCCTGCCAACAGGCGGAGACAATACCCCACCTGGCCCAGACAAATATGGTATCCCTTTGTTCTCAAAATGTCAATGAGCACACTCATCAATCTTCCCCTCCAACACAATTTGATGACTCTGGGGCAAACAGGGCAAACCTACCCAGATCCACACAAGCTACATCTAACAGCATGGCTCCTCAGTGGCTGTCCCAGGGAGAACTAGCCTTTCCGGAACAGATCCAAGCAAACCTCATCCACAGCCATAAGGACTCCATCCACACCTTCTACACTAACAAATGGAAGTGACTCTCAGATGGTATACATTGTAAGGGCAGGACCCATCCTCAGCACCCCTGTCCTTTAGCCTCGATTATTTACTCACCTTAAAATAATCACCACTCTCCTTTAGCTCGAAGTACACCTAGCAGCCACAACAGCCTTCCATTACAAAAGTGATGGCCGTTCCGTGTTTACTTACCCTATCACCAAAAGATTTCTTAAAGAATTGCATCCTTCACATCCCAACATTATACAATCTGGGATCTCGGGCTAGTGCTGCGACTGTTGACCAGGCCGCCCTTTGAGCCCCTCGCCTCATGCTCCCTTTCACACTTTTCCATAAAAGTAATGCCGCAAGCTCCACTAATGTGGCCCCAACTGTATTGGTGGGACCAGGGGATATAGTACTGGGGAAGGGTGCTAGTGGGTGCTTTGGCAGGGGACAGAATGCCAGTGGGGACAGATTTCTGCAGCTGGGGACAGGAGAGGGGATAGGGGAAAAGGGATAGGGTGCCAGGAGGGCAGGGGACAGGGTGCCAGTGGGGACAGGTTTCTGAGGCTGAGGAGCGGGGAGAGGGGAAAGGGAACAGGGGGATGGGGAGTGGGGAGAGGGAATAGGGTGCTGGGAGGGCAGGGGACAGAGTGCCAGCAGGGACAGGTTTCTGAGGCTGGGGAGTGAGGAGAGGGAACAGGGGAGTGGGGAGAGGGTGCTAGGAGGGCAGGGGACAGGGTACCAGTGAGGACAGGTTTCTGCGGCTGGGCTCAGGGGAAAGGGGATAGGTTGCTGGGAGGGGAGAGGGGATGGGGTGCCAGTGGGGACAAATTTCTGAGGCTGGGGAGTGGGGAGAGGGAACAGGGGAGTGGAGAGTGGGGAGAGGGGGGCAGTGGGGGCAGAGAGTCCCCTGCATCCGCCTCCTCCCAGGATTCTCTCCCTACCCCCCTGAGGGAAGCCAGCGCGTGCCACCTCCAAGGCCAGGGCATGCCTCCCGCTGCACAGCCAAACCCCGCGGGCGCCTGCCCTAGGGCCAACTCCCCTTCCCGCGGTGCAGCCTAACCCCTGCGCGCACCCGACCCAGGGCCAAACCCCGGGGCCGACCCCTGCTCCCGTAGTGCAAGGAAACCCCTGCACTCGACTCACCTTTCCTGTGGCTCAGGGAAGCCGTCGCACTCCTCCTCCGAGGCCAACGCCCCCTCCCGCAGCATGCCTGGCATGCCACAGAACTGTGGGAGGCGAGCAGCCAGCGCACTTCCAGAACCCCTGGAAGTGGCGTGAAGCTGCAAGCAGAACTTCCTTCCACCCCGCGGGAAGTTGGCACTACGCTGGAGGTAGGTAGTGGGGCTTCTCGGGAGTGGGGAGAAAATGGGGGGTGGGAGGGCCCGAATGCCTCACAATCGACTGGTCAAGGCCTCGCGATCGACCAGTCGATCGATATTGACCGGTTAGTGACCATGGGATTACAGAATGTATAAAGACTGTGTACACACTCAAGGGCCTACAGTCACTGTTACGCTTGACAGCTCATTCTACCAGGGCTGTATCTTCTTCCACAATGTAGCTACGCAACATGCCACTAACGGACATTTGCAAAGCAGCCACTTGGGAATCACAACTTATTTTTGGCAAGCACTATGCAGTTTCCTATGTGGGTGACACAGCAGTGGGCTTAGCAGTGCTAAACACTCCAAAGCGCCAACCACCAAGGGCCAAAATAGCTTGTTAGTCACCAAGCATGGAGCGTCCACAGGGACCTCTCAAAGAAAAAATGAAGGTTACTCACTTCGTGCAGTAACTGCAGTTCTTCCAGATGGTGTCCCCATGGATGCTCCACAAACACACTCTTCCCCCCCTGCTTCAGACCTGGAGCCTCTGGGGTAGAGAAGAAACCAGAGGGTGTGGGCTGTGCATGAGCAGTACCCAATAGCATGGCGTGCGCTGGTTGGTACAGCACATGTGTAGCTCACCAGGGATTGCTGCAAAATCTCCCATCCAGGTGCTGGGATGGTACCAAGACCAAGTGTGGAGCATCCACGGAGACACCATCTCGAAGAACTCTAGTTATGGCACAAGGTGAGTAACCTACATTTCAGGGGCTAAAGCACTAATCTCATCTCAGTTCTTCCACAAATTCCCTGTGTGACCTTGGGCAAGTAACTAAGTCTTTCCATGCCTCAGTTCCCCATCTACAAAATGGGAACTCTCACTAGCTTGTGAGGAAATGAGGTGTGATGGTAATGAGGGCCAAATAAAATAGCTAGTTTCAGTAAGATTGATTCTGCCCAGCAGGAGGTCAGATCTCATAAAAGGGAGTAGGCCACAGGGAATATAGCTTTTACTGTGAATGCAGCATAAAGATAAGAAACTTACATTTACAATAATAATAAAAAAGAAGAAACAAACCCTTACCTTTAAAACTCTGAGAGTCAGGCCCGCTTCCCTTTTACATTCACATGAGAGCCGTCTTCCCCATCTACCAAAATGCACTTTCAACATTTCAGCTTCCTCGTTCTCTGGTTTCCATTTTTCAAGACTATGGATCTCCTAGAGGATCATAGGACTGTTTTCTTGGGGTTAGAGGGTTTTTCATTTGAAAATGAAAGCCCTCAGTGCCATATATGTTTCCAGTTTCTGCTGATGTAATTGGGAGGGGTGTCAAACTGCAGTAGTGCAGTGGTGAATCAAAGCCAACATTGTTAATCTTTCTGGCAGTAAAGATAAGCTCCAGAATATAAATTGTTTCAATAATTATATGCATTATTTTTTAAAGCATATTGTTTCACAAATCAATAGACAGCAAACATTTTATAATAGAGATGAGAATCATGTGCCTACCATCTTTAATGACTCCCTGTGTAATTCTTGAGAAAACACCAAAGTTTTGAAACACTTCTGAGAATGCATATGATAGTTTCACAAATTGACGGGTCGATCTGTACATCTGTTAAATATTCAGTGTCAGAACGTTTTTCCAGGAACCATTCTAGGAGGGACTCCTCAGGATACAGCTCTACCGTTACCTTTCCAGAAGAGGAGAGAGTTTGTTTCTACCATCACTGGATCTCTGCAAGAACGTCTATACTGTTTCTTGAAGGAATTCCATAAAGTCTGGTTGGCGGGCAGTAGAGGAAGGTCACTGTTTGCATTCAATGGCACCTCTCTTTGTAGATCCCCTAGACTTCCCTGAAGAAATATGAAAGGCAATTAATGCAGCTGGAACTGAGCAAAAAAAGATGCTACCACTGGAAAGACTTATAACTATGCTTAACTTTACACATTGTGAGACGTCCTACGTGTTTCAACTGATTTATCCTTAGACTTCTCCCATAAAAAGAACCACTTAAATTGGGAAAGAAAAACAAAGGCTTAATACAAATGCATGTTATTTTTCAGGTGTCAGAGAAAACTTGTATATTTAGCAAACCTATACATAAGGGGGCAATATTGGGAGTTAAAGGAACATACAATGGCACTGAATATTCAGAAGAAATCAGATTCATTCCCCCAGGTAATGCACTAGTGTTTGTGAAAGCTTTGGTCTATCCACAAAATTTTGGAGAAAAAACCCTGTCAGAATACATTTGCTTCTAGAAGTAATTATTTATTTAATTTTCTGTATTACAAATGCTTTTGCAAATCCACTACAATGATGCCATTTGTAACCAATGGTTGCCCTAGTTGTGTAAGTGACATTGTGGCAGAACAAGTTTCCACTTTTGCAGAGTAAGTTGCAGGATGGAAATATCTGTGTGTGATATGGTTGTTCTTCTTTTAGTCTCTTAGAAAAAGGGGGGATTAAAATGGTGAATAGCAAATAAAACAGTGAGCACATTATGGCTATGGCTATACTGCAGCACTATTTCATGATACCAGGAGGTATCCCAAAATAGCTACTGTACCTTAACAGCAATCCCATTATATTGAAATATAACAGCCTTGCTATTCTGACATCCCTTATTCCATGAGGAATAAGGGATGTTTCAGAGTAGTGGGTTATTTTGAAATGTATTGACTCGAAATAAGCTATGCAATTTGCATAGCTCAGATTGCGTAGCTTATTTCAAGCTACGGCTGCAGTGTATATGCACCCTAGGTCTCCCCACGGAAGCAATTTATGGCTAACAAGAGCATCGTTGTAGCTGACTAATACAAACTGAGCTCCCTAGTCTTATTGGTAGTCATTATGACAACTAGGAATAATCATTGGCTATGTGTACACTGGCATGATTTTGCGCAAGAACTCTTTTGCGGAAGAGTTCTTGTGCAAAAACTCTTCCAGAAGAGAGCGTCTACACTGGCATATGCCTTTGCGCAAGAGATGTGCTTTTGCACAAGACCATCCGTGCCAGTGTACATGTTCTCCATTTTAACCATAGGGCTTTCTTGCGCAAGAAATTCACGTTGCCTGTCTATACTGGCCTCTTGCGCAAGAATAGTTGTACAAGAGGGCTTATTCCTGAGTGGAAGCATCATAGTTCTTGAGCAAGAAGCACTGATTTCATACATTAGAACTTCAGTGTTTTTGCACAAGAACTCGTGGCCAGTGTAGACAGGCAGCAAGTTTTTGCGCAAAAGAGGCCGCTTTTGCGCAAGATGGTGCCAATGTAGATACAGCCACTAAGTTTAAATGTGATGCAAAAGTTTTCAAACTTCAATACCTAAAATTAGGCACCTAAATCTTTAGTTATCTAAAATCAATAGAAGTTCCACATGCTCAGAATCTCTCTGCTTCTGACATACTATGTGAAGAGTTGTACCTGCTTATACTCGTAACTCACTTTTTTCTTCATCTTGTAAAAATACACATGCAACTTTTCTTGGTTTTCAGGCAAGAATGGAACACGTGTTGAAAATTTCTCCTGTGTGATTTACAATATTTCCTTCATGAATTGCACTTGGGATGCTGGCAGGAAAGCTCCAGATGATACCCAATATTTTCTTTCATTGCAGTACTCAAGGTAAATAATTTTCATTGGCTCAAGGAAGCTTTCCATTCAGATTTTACAGATGCCATTTTTTATGTTTAACTGAAACATTTTGGTATATGCAGGGAAGAACGTGTAGTAAATTGTCCACATTACATAAAAGATGCATTTGGAAGACATATCGCATGCAGTTTCCAAAATGTGACAATAATTTATGATCCAGTTTACTTCCTGGTGAAGGGGGACAGCAATGAATCGGAGATTCAATTTTATGATGAGTCCATCAAACTCTATGAAATTGGTAAGGAAATAATGTCTTTTGGTTTAATTCTAATTTTTACTACAAGTGGAATGAACCATTTTTCACTGGAAGAAGGGCCTGCGTTTGTTTCAGAGCTATGCTCCAGAACACAAGCTTTTTTTCTTCCATTTTTTCAAACTCTTTCTAACTGTTACAGTTGCAAAGGTTGAATTCCAAATGGAAGCAGATTCTTTATCAAATGTAATACTGATGATTTTCTTCTAGAAAAGTTAACTCCTCCAGTCAATATCACTGTAAACTGTTCTGAAGACCAGCCACGGTGTATTGTGCAATGGAAACGTCCCCAGCTAAGTTGGTCAGAAGGAGATATAGATCCTTGCTTTCAGTATCAAATTGACATTCGAAATAAGAAAACTAACGTAAGTGTAATTTTTTCAATGATGCTCACCACAAATACATATTTTCTGTTTATCAACCTAGAACTGATACACATCAGAACCCACTTTTATACTACCATCTCCTCTCCTTCCTCATCTGACATCCATCCTTTTTAGATCCAGCCATTCCTGCATGTAGCATAGTTCATTGCCTCATTGCTAATCTTGCCCCCATGACTCTTTCACCACCTGCAAATGCCTGAGTCCAGTCTCTTAACTACTTTTGTTTATCACCAGCATTGCACATGCTCTTACATCATTGCTAACCCTTACGGAGGGATTACTTTTCTGAACTGCAACTCAACAGCATGCATTCACAGAGCTATTAGCATAAACTAGACATTATAATTTGCAATCCACTGGAACAGGTGACTCCCCAGCATACTATGCTGTTCATTGTGCTTGTATGTGAAGACAACTTCTTGCAGATTTTATCCCTAAGGGTATGTCTATACTACAGTGTTATTTCAAAATATCTAATTTCGAAATAGTTAATTCAAAATAGCTTATTTCAAAATAACGCATCTACACACAAAATGCATTTCAAAATAGCATTTTTCTATTTCAAAATAGCGTGTCCACACTGAGTGGATGTTGAATCACATTTAAGGCTGGTTGGAAACAGTTCCAGAAGGGCATAAGGTCAGAAGTTACCTTGTGGCCAGGGTGGCCAGCAGAGCACCCTGGAAAGGGCTGAAGGCCCCCTCTTTCGAAATAAGCATCTGAACAGAGCTTATTTCAAAATAGAAATTTCAAAATTGGCACTATTCCTCATGGAAGGAGGTTTAAAAATTTCTAAATAAGCCCTCCACTATTTCAAATTAATTTGTAGATGCTTTGTAGATGCTATTAAAGTTATTTTGAAATAACTTTGCTGTGTAGATGTACCGTAAGAGTGCACGTCTCTAGATTACAGATTCACTAATTTAACTCATCCCCACCTCTAAATATGTCATTGTGCAGTGCAAAGACAACCCATACACTATTACAGACAAGGCTGATAGTACAGTACCAGCTATTATTCAGGCTGCCCAGCATTCCCAGTCTAAAACCCTCTTTTTGGTTACTTCTAACGAGTTTTTCTATAATTAAACAAAAATCTAACAACCTTTTCTTTGGAAATTTGAGGCTTCTATTACTTGGCCCAGGTTCTTGAATGTGGCAAGGGGTGTTCTTTTTGTCAGGGATTTGCCTTTTATCATCCAAGGGAAACTCTGCACAAATATAACCAGATGAGAAATCTTTGAAAAAAAATTAGTTTGTATCAGTAGAGCCTCACAGAGCATATTTGACCCTCTCATAGCTCCTAATTTTGAGTAGACTATGTATGTGTGTTGTTCCCACAGAGGTGGTGAGCATGATCCAGGCCAGGGCTATGAGGTTATGGCTGCTCTCAGTAGCTGCAGGCAGAGTGGGATTGAATACTGGAACAAAGAGCTGGACTTTCCTATGCTCTTAATACACCCTGATAGTTCCCTGCCAGCAAGGAAGAGAAAGCCATCTGATTCAGATGCAGAACCTAACCTAAGGCAACATAGGGAAGGCCTGGGGGGATGTAGATTGGAACAAGGAGCCAGGGAAGGAAGGGCTGGGACTTGCAAGGAGAGTTGGTTTCAGAGTCAGGGAGGGAAACAGGTGGGGAAAAGAAAGAGAATGGGAGGGAGAATGAGACTGGATGAAAAGAGATTGGAACTGTCAGGATATGGCTACAGTGCAGGGTTTTTCCAAGATACTAGAGGAACACTTCTGCTCTTCTGAATTTTTTTTGGAAGAGCAGTCGTGCTTTTTTGAGGAAAAACAGATGTTTCAGAAGAGGGTTTTTTTTCTGGCCATTGGTGCAGTGTAGATGGGCCAAATGTTGGAAAAGCCTCTTCTGAAAAAAGAAGTAGAAAAAGCTTTTTCCGGAAGAGTAATGCAGCATAGACACAGCCTCAGGGAAAGGTGATGGTGACTAGGAACCAATGCAGCAGAGAGAAAGAGGTTGTAGGGGAGATGACAGATCTGACAATGAGCTGGAAAGCAGGGTGAGAAATGGGTCTTGTGCGGCAAAAGAAAATGGGGGAAGGAACCATGTGAGATAAGGACACTGAGATTAGATCAGAAGCAGAGAAATGAAGACTGGAACTGGGAACCATTAGGGATGGGGAACATGACTGTGGTGTGTGGGGGAGTGACTAAGGCTGCAGGGAGAGACTGACAGATCAGGAAATTAGGACAAGGAACAGGGAACAGTTGGGCAAGGAGAAGGCTGGGTCTGGGAGCAGGGAAGGAACCTAGGAGAGAGTGTTGAGGAGACTCAGGGTACGTCTAGACTACAGGCTTTTGTCAACAGAAGTTTTGTCGACAGATACTGTCAAAAAAGCTTCTGTCAACAAAGAGCGTCTAGACTACATTCAGTTCTGTCGACAAAGCAAGTTGCTTTGTCGACAAAACCCTGGAGTCTAGACACAACCCTACATGCAATAACACCTTCTGTCGACAGAACTCTGTCGACAAAAGGCGTTATGCCTCGTAAAATGAGGTTTAACAGCGTCAACAAAACTGCTGAGTTCTGTCGACGTTATGTTGACAGAACTCAGCGGTAGTGTAGACGCAGGTATAGTTTTGTCGACAAAAGTCCACTTTTGTCTACAAAACTCTGTAGTCTAGACACACCCTCAGAGTGGAAGTTTGGATGGGTGAGATTAGGGCCTATTGAGCAAGGGATTATGATCAGAAGTCTGAAGCATGGAGACTGGGACTGACTAAGTGAGGAGAATTGGACGGGGACAAGCAGCCAGTTGTCGGCTCTACAGGACTAACAGTGGTTGGAGGGGAAAGGGCAGAATGGGGCGAGCTTGTGGGGAATGGTCAGAAAAGTCTTTGTCCATTCTGAGACTCCCCTCCAGAGTTTGCAGTGAAACCCATGATCCTAGAGTCTCAACGTTGTTCTGCTTTCAGCAACTATCTGTGAAACTCACTGGTAAAGTGTCCATGCCCTTTCCAGTGCTGGTCTTGTAGTGCTCAGTAATTAAAGACTATATTATAATGCATACTAGAAAGGGGACAAACTAAGTTTGCACAGACACTTTAATTCTTATGTTCGCTAACTTTTGAGTGCTTGGCTCTGTGAATGTAATGCTCCTTAGCACAGGTCTTTTGTGTGTGATTTCATATTATGTTGTAGGTACAGGGAAACAATTACGCTCAGGAGTGTCTATATGTTTCCATTATAAAGGCTGTGGTATAGACAAGCTTTGACATTTTCTGTTCTTCCCTTTGCTCATTTAAAATTCTTGTACAGTAGCTGTTTGTACGGACTATATTTTTATTCCTCTTGAAATAAATGTATTGTAAGAGTTTGTTCCAACAGACAGGGATTTGTGATAATTAAGCAATCAGCCTTTTAATGCCTTCTCTGTTGAACTGGTGTGATGCTGTGGACTGGGTTGCAGTAGCAAGCTGGGACTAGGAGCCAGTTGAAATCAAGGCTGAGACATAATGTTCCTAAGCCCAAACTCGGCTATGGGAAGAGAAACTAAAGCTCTCGTTGATTTAGTGGGAATATCTGAGGATTGAAGTTGCCTCAGGAGTTCTCCTCTGTTGCCAACAGCCATTGGTTAAAGTAATCTTCTTCCAATTCACTGCCCCTTCCTCTGGTAGGTTTTCCTCAATTAATCTCCTCCCTCTCCAGGCTGAACACACCTCTCTAGTGAGTCACATTACTTTGGAACAGGCCCAGAGGAGTTAGTTAGCCTCCTCTATACCACTGTGGGAGGTCAACAGGACAAACCCTCCCCTGGTCTTCCCTTACTCTTCACAACCCCATAGAATACTGAGGTCATGGGGACTGCCATCCATTTTTGATTTAGCAGGTCCTTACTAAACTTGCTAAATCAGACTTTAGAGCATTGATCTTCATGTAATTATAGAAAAGGCCACGTTGTGCTTCTAACGCCTCCTTTAAATGTGGTAAATGATCTTTCCAGATGGGGATAGTTAATGATATTGATGATGTGTGGTGCAGAACACCAATGGTGATATTTAGGTTCTTTATAAGCTATTGGAAGGTTGCAACAGTTAGGTGGTTGTCAAAAGGGGCCTGGTGCTTTATTCAAAGAGCCCAAAAGGAGTGGGAAAAGCCATTTTCCCTTGTGTGAAAGGGAGTAAGAGAATCTGCCAGTAACTTTTTGTCAGGTCAATAGTGCTCAGATGCTTCACTGGTTTCAGCCATTCTAATAACTTGGCATTGGGTAGGCATTGAATTTTGTGATGGCACTGACCTTCCTGACGTTTATGTAGAATCAAACCAAACTCTTTTGTTTGGGAATGAGAACTATGGGGCTGCTCCATTTACTTCTGGATTCTATAATCATCCTCATCTTCAGCATTGCTTGTACTTCATCTTGGAGCATTTCCCACATCCTTTGTGACCAGGGTCTAGTATTCTCTTGGACTATCTAGCCCAGGGTAATCACTAAGGGTATGTCTACACTACAAAGTTAATTCGAACTAACAACTGTTAGTTCGAATTAACTTTAATAGGGGCTACACATACAAACCGCTAGTTTGAATTTAAATTGAACTAGCGGAGCGCTTAATTCGTACTAGGTAAACCTCATTCTACGAGGAGTAACGCCTAGTTCGAATTAAATAGTTTGAATTAAGGGCTGTGTAGCCACTTAATTCTAACTAGTTGGAAGCTAGCCCTTCTCAGCTTGCCCTGGTGGCCACTCTGGGCCAAACCAGGGAAACTCTTCTGCCCCCCTCCCGGCCCCAGAACCCTCCTTTTCCCAGTCTCCCCGAGTTTTGTTCAATAAAGAGAGTTTCTATTTTTGAACACACGTGTGCTTTATTTTGTACATGAGGAAGGGGGGCTAGGGAGGGGTAAGTGGAAGGAGGTGAGGGAGGAACGGGGTACGAGCCCCCGATGGGGAGGACTGGGCTGGCTTTGCGGGCTCCTTGGGGTGGAAGCTCTCGTGAAGCCCCTCGATTGACTCCCCCTTCGGATGGCAGCCTGTGGCAAGTGCAGCTGGGCTGATGGCCGAGTGCTGTGATGTGCCAAGTGTGGGCATTCAGGGCACTCCAAGCTGGGACTGCTTTGCTGTCCCTCATCGAGTTCGACAAGCGAGCGGGGAACCTCTGAGAACTGTCTGTCCGGGGTGGGGGTCGGGTCCCTTTAAGCAGCGCCCTCAGCTAGCCTGAGGCAGCAGCTCCACGCTCTAAGTCCTAACCTGATGCCCTGCCGGCACTGCTTCCGGCCAGCCTTAACCTCGGTTCAGGGTTCACTCAATGTGGACATGCTAGTTCGAATTAGCAAAATGCTAATTCGAACTAGTTTTTAGGTCTAGATGCACTAGTTCGAATTAGCTTAGTTCGAATTAACTAATTTGAATTAAGTTAGTTTTAATTAGTGCTGTAGTGTAGACATACCCTGAGGGAATAGCTTTTCTCTTCCTAGGAGTCTTGTGCAGGAGATGTCATGTGCCCACTGCAAGATGGCCTGGCAGTACTTGCATGGCACTTGCAGCTGGTCCTACACCACCTCCAGGATGACTCTCCCTGATCAGATTCAGATCCTCATTCTTGAGTGCAGTGTGGGGTATTACTGCCTCCCTCAGACTCTATCACTTCTCTATTTATGGAGGCCAGTTGTTGCTCATAAGCAGAGTGAAATGTTGTCCAGAGCTCTTTCAGAAAAACCCACATCACACAATAAGAACCCAGGATCTCATCCACTGTTTTCCTCACTAGGATTTGGCATCCTGATCCTCTGCTCAGCAAGTAAGGATCAGTTTAGACTGACTTCCTCAATCAGGGCATGCTAAGCACCTTTCTGCTGCCTTTACTCAGAGAATATGGATAACATTTCATCACCCCTACACTCAAACACTAGAATGATTTGTAACTCAAAACAAGAGAAAATGGATTGTTTTGGCAAAGGCGTTCTATCTGCTGTGCACCTAGGCAGAGTAGGCATGTCTACACAAACATAGTTTGCGCCTGAAATCTTTTTCCCCATTCATCAATACATGTCATTGGGAATTCACTCAGACCTCGCTCACAGAAGAGAGAACGAAAGGCAAACAAGATCAGCCACTTATGCACCCAAGGAACCAGCCTTAGCTTCCGCCTCTGCCTCTGCTTCCTTTGTGATGTCACAAACAGGGCAAGGGGGAGGGAGACTTTTAATCAGCACCAGCATCGTGCAGTTGCTTAGCCAAAGCAGGGAAACCAAAAATGCAAGAAGCACAATCGTTGAATAAGAAACCCATCCCAGGGGAGTTACTAGAGCAGATGCTCCAGGTTTGCCAGTCACTGATTACAACCAAAGATATCTGTATGTGATAGGAGGAAATGTATTGTGGAATATAGGCTTTGTAAATTCTATTTGCACCTTCTTCTGAAACAAGTGAGTAAATAAATAATCCAAAAGGAAAAGAAAGGAAGAAAGACATTATTACAGGGTAACAAAACAAAAATAAAATAATAAAGATTTTTCTTTCTTTTGCAGGCCACTTCTGAGGAAAACAAAAATGAGCTTCATATGGTAACAATTCTTTTTCCATACTAACATATATTCTTGTATTGGTTTTGCAAAGATTTTCAAAAAGTTCTTTCAGGGGCAGTGTAATGGGTCCTTCCATAGATTTTGCTCAAATTCTTCCATAAAAATTTGTAGGGACAGTTCAGGTTACCTGGCGATCTCAGTCATGCAGCTTGAACTTCCCCTGACAAATTTTAAGCCGATCTGAAATGAAAAGGATTGGGCAATAGAGTTCTGTTATAATTTGCTAGCAGGCAGTGGCACAACAGGTATTCTGTTATTAAGAGCATGATTGTGATTCATTTTTAAATCACACAATTAATTAATTAATTTTTGATCGCTTGACAGCCATAGTAGCAAACATACAGCAAATGTCATAACTTCATAAACAGTAATGTTATACAAGTTTGGAGAGAACAATGAGTTTCTGCCAGTCATGCCCTTCCACAAGATATTTTTCCTCCCATGCTTCCTATACATCTCACAACAATTTATGCATGATGAATAAGGGGGTTTCGGAATTCCATTTCGAGGTACAGGTTGTGTCAACCATATTCTGCTTCCATAAACAGGCACAAATATATGCTTTGGGCACATCTACACTGCATGGCAAAAGTGAAATTAAGCTACACAACTTCAGCTACATCAATTGCGTTGCTGTAGTCGAAATAGCTTAATTCAGCTTTTGGCGCTGTCTATACAGCAGAGAGTCGAAGGAAGAACACTCTTCTTTTCACTTCTCTTACTCCTCATGAACAGCAATTCGAGTAAGAAGTCCTCCATCTCGACATTATGTCGAAATAATGGCTTGCTGTGTAGACATGCACTGTGTTATTTTGAAATAATGTCACTTATTCTGCAATAATGCTGCTTTGCAGATGTACCCTTTGTTCACTTGGATCAACAAATGAAAACCTTGCATGTTAGCAACTCTACATGTACAATGAAAAAGACTAGTTAGTCTAATTATTCTTTCTTGAACAGTGTCTAGCACAGTGGGGCAGCATTCTTCCCTGTTTCTTAGGCACTATGAAAATAAATCTAATGAATAATAGTAATAATAATAATAATACTAGTAATAATATCATAATTGTTTTTAGGCACAAGGAACAAGTTTCATATTTGAGAATTACAATGTGAAAAAAAAATACTCTTTGCAAATCAGAGCCAAGGGAAATGCTTGTCTCGTAAGCAAAAAATGGGGGGAATGGAGTGAGCCCATTGACTTTGGTAAGGATGTTGAGTATTTCCTTAATTTACTTTTCTCCTTTTGGCTACTGATGGAGTCCTCATAAACTCCTGAGCTCCATGGCCCAGACTGATCTATGCTTCTGTTGTTGGATTTATAAATTCTATCTGCTCCTCAGTCCTTTACTGAGCAAAGCATTAGACTGAAAGGAAGTTCAGAGTTCACAAGGGTTTTCATGCTGCCATTGATTGCTATGAGTCATCAGAGATTCTGTCTACACTACAAAGAAAAGTCGGAAAAAGATATGCAAATGGTGTGGAATATTGCATAATTAATGAGTACCCGCTTTTTGCACAAGAGCTGTTCTTCTGGAAAAAAATGAGCGGACACTCATTAATTATGCAAATGAGGCTCTGCAATATTCCATGCTTAGCCTCATTTGCAAATTTTTTGCCCAAAGTAGGTCCAGTATAGACATAGCCTAAGAGAGTTTGATATTGTGCAGCGTTTTGTGCTGTTAAAATGTTATTTCAGCCTAGCCAATGTCCAGTGAGTAGGATCAAAGCATAAAAATCACTCTTTTTCTAGCATGGCTGACTTGCTTCTTCATTAGTCTAAGTATGCTTGAGTAAGGACTGCAGAACTTCCATTCAAGTTAGCTGGAATTTTCTCTGAGTAAAAACTTTTAAGAATTAAAGTGTTCCATCTTTTATCTTCTTTATATCTCTGGGTTAATAGGCATTCTAGTAGGGTGTACCCACTGTTGTTTTCCTTGAACAAGTGGGGTTCTAAAGAAAAATTAAAGGGAAGAAAAAATTATTGAATAACTTTAACCATTAAATGAATAAATGGAGGCCCTGAACAGTAAATCTCTAATCACTCGCATGCATGAAACTAATGGAGATTTTTCTTTTTCCTTCAATACAAGGAATGGATGGGTCCACCACTAACAAAATATAAAACCGAAGCAATAACTACTGTTGAAGAAATCGCATTACTTACCAAAAACAAAATGAAACACTTGGATTCCCCAAGTTGAACACCTGCAAACCTAAGGCAATGGTGTACATTTTGTACACTCACTCTCTTTCTCTTGCCTATAAATATTATTTAACACTTCTAAGACCCTATTTTCAGTTTCCTATACATGTTGACAAATTTGGACAGATGTTTTTCCATGCTAAATGTCTGCATGGTGAATATTCTTGAAATGTGTCAGAAAAAAAATCAGAAATGTATTAAAACAATTCTATGGAAAATAAAGTATTTTGCCCGTATTTTAAAAAAACAATCCTCTTATACCCTTTTCTTTGAAAACCTCTAGGACTTCCCTGCTTTGGAACTGTTGGAAATTTTCTAGAGGTGAAAGGAACATGTGGTTTGTCCATCTTTATGAATATCAACCCAAACAAGGGCTTTATTTTGAACGCCTGTTTCACTGCCACATGTAGACGTGAGCAGTTACTTCGGGCTTGTAAATTTCAAAAAATGGCACCCGGTCGGGAAGATGCATATCAAATGTGGGATATTTAAATCTGAAGCTTGATTTGCAATTCTGAATGCCTACATTTGCAGCCCTAGTTCGAATTAGGCTGCATGTATAGACATAACCAGAGGGAATAACAGAAAGCAGCAGGAACTGCAGGGGGGAGGAGGAGTCTCGTATGTACCTCTCTAGCACCCCCAGGAGCCTGGTCTGATTAACACCAGCTTCTCAGGGAGCTTCCTGTTTCCTGCTGCTTCCCTGAACCCACTTGAGGAGAACAGTCAGTCAACTGAAGTAGTAGGAGCCAGTTAGGCCGTTAAGATGCTGATATCTTCCCTCACTCGGGCCCTGCTAACAGCCTGCTTATTTGTCCCCTTCAACTGAGTGTTGAGAGCCACTATAGCTACACAGAACAGCTCTCATGAGTGAAAGACGAAAACACTCCTCTGGGGCAGCATTCAGAAAAAGAAAGAAAGCAAAACAAGCTTTTCTATCTAAGCCGGAAGGAGCTCTCCTGAGATACATAGACACAAATGTTCACAGGGAGCCTTCCAGCCCCAGTGAGGATGTGAGTGGTGAGGAGATGCTTGATCTTCCAGTTAGTCACAGTGCAGGTGACCTGGCAGCTACTGCAGCATCCATATCTCCATCTCAAATGGATGTAACCATGCACATTCCTGAAGAAAAGTGTAGATCAGAGAAGAGTGTGGTGGAGGCACAAGAAACAGCTGCTGCTGAGTTTAGTTCCTTAAGTCTAGATGATCCAGGACTGTGGACCCACTTGAGCAATAGCCTGAGAGATTTCCTTGTACTGCATAGGCCACAGCAAGTAAAAAACTTAATGTACCCCAAAAACAATGAAAATAGAAGTGTAAGCAGGGGCTAAACTACTGCTTGCTATTAGCCAGCTAAAAGAAGAGAGCTGCCCTTGGGGTGGGTGTGCTCACTCAAATTGTTTAGCTCAGCAAGATAATTAACTGTTAACTGTTGATATGTAAATACAGCTCATGCCAGGATGGGGAAGGAATCTGAGGTGTGGTTATGTAAATCCAATTCAGCCAGGGCTCATGGAGGATCAGTTGATAGAATGGAATGTGATGTATTGTAACTAATTTGAGCTGTTGTGGGGGTCACCCCTAAATGTGGGAACAGTAAAATATGACACCAGTGCTTGCAGGAGAGACACCATCATTGTAAGAGGTCTCAGATGAACAAGCCTCCCCATCCCAGAATTGTGTGAACTGATCTGAGGGGAAAGGGTGTGAGCCAGGCAGGCAGGCAGGCAGGCAGATAGATAGATAGATAGATGTGAGCTTTAAGACTGGTTCAACCTGCCTCTTTCCCCCTTTTATTAAGGCTAGACCTAAAGCAGACTCTAGGAGGAGTCTTTTTGCTAGTCCAGTGGGAGCTGGAATCTTTTGCCAGCCTAGGGGGTGGCTAAAGAGTTGAAATCACCATGGGTATGTCTACACTACCCCGCTAGTTTGAACTAGCGGGGTAATGTAGGCATACCGCACTTGCAAATGAAGCCCGGGATTTGAATTTCCCGGGCTTCATTTGCATAAGTGGGGCGCCGCCATTTTTAAAACCCCGCTGGTTCGAACCCCGTGCAGCGCGGCTACACGCGGCACGAACTAGGTAGTTCGAACTAGGCTTCCTAGTTCGAACTACCGTTATTCCTTGTGGAATGAGGAGTAACGGTAGTTCAAACTAGGAAGCCTAGTTCGAACTACCTAGTTCGTGCCGCGTGTAGCCGCGCTGCACGGGGTTCGAACCAGCGGGGTTTTAAAAATGGCGGCGCCCCACTTATGCAAATGAAGCCCGGGAAATTCAAATCCCGGGCTTCATTTGCAAGTGCGGTATGCCTACATTACCCCGCTAGTTCAAACTAGCGGGGTAGTGTAGACATACCCATGGTGATTTCAACTCTTTAGCCACCCCCTAGGCTGGCAAAAGATTCCAGCTCCCACTGGACTAGCAAAAAGACTCCTCCTAGAGTCTGCTTTAGGTCTAGCCTTAATAAAAGGGGGAAAGAGGCAGGTTGAACCAGTCTTAAAGCTCACATCTATCTATCTATCTATCTGCCTGCCTGCCTGCCTGCCTGGCTCACACCCTTTCCCCTCAGATCAGTTCACACAATTCTGGGATGGGGAGGCTTGTTCATCTGAGACCTCTTACAATGATGGTGTCTCTCCTGCAAGCACTGGTGTCATATTTTACTGTTCCCACATTTAGGGGTGACCCCCACAACAGCTCAAATTAGTTACAATACATCACATTCCATTCTATCAACTGATCCTCCATGAGCCCTGGCTGAATTGGATTTACATAACCACACCTCGCAAAAGACATTGCTTAATCCATTTGAACTGGGCGAGTTACTCGTGCGGGGGGGGAGGGCATGTTATGAGCTCTGTTGTGGTATTTTCCCAAATTAATGCCATGTGACTTCTCTCTCTCTCTCTCTCTCTCTCATTAAAAGTTTATTTTCCACACACAGACTCTATGCTTGCGAGTGGGGAAGCATTGCCTCCCACAGGCGCCCGGGGTACGTGAATTTCCCAAGCTACTAGGTGGGGGCTCGAGCCAGTTCTGTGTGAGATGGATGAAAGGGGACCCCTAGATATTGAACCCAGCCCTGGCTGCTGCCAGCACTACCCAGCAGAAGGGTTACATTTTGGGGGCTCGTCCAGGATCACTGGGTCAATATCCCTCGCAAGCACATGTTGAGTGAGTTGCTCAGTGGGAAATAATTTTGTTTTGTATTTGACGAAATTACTGTTTGTATCATGGCTAATCTGTTAGGTTTGTTGGGCCCTGGCTCAGAAGCCTCTAGTTCAGGGGCAACAGCCTCAGATGACGACTGGGCAAAAGCCCTGGGGCAGACATTGGAAAATGTGTGCTATCCCATGCTATGGCAAGATCTTATTATAAGTTACGATTATTTCCTGGGGAAGAGGAGTTTGAACCCTGGCTAGAATACACCACTGAAATGCTAGAGTAGTGGCCTGTGCCAGACAGAGAAAAGCAAAGATGTTTAGTAGAGAATCTCAGGGGCCCAGCTTTAGCTGTGATTCACATCTTGAAGCGTACTAACCCTGAGGTCAGTGTAAAGGACTGCCTAGAAGCCCTCACTCACACCTTTGGGAGTATAGAGGGCCCTGAAGACAGTACTGTAACTTTCTCAACGCTAAGCAGAACCAGGGAGAGAAGGTCTTGGCCTATATACAGAGAGGCTGCTACAGAGAACTGTCATTAAGGGAGCAGTGACTGCTGAGCAGATGAACCAGACCAGACTTGCTCAAATTGTAAGAGGAACTCAGTATTACTGCCTGATTCTACTTCACCTCTGGCTAAGAGAACGACAGGAAGACCCTCTGCCCCTTACTCCCAGCTGATAAAGGAGGTCAGAGAAGAGGAAGAAAGGCAGGCTGCCAGTGAGTTTTGGGAGGCTCAGATGCCTGAGCCAGCCAGCACCGCACCCCGACAAACAGATGGTGTGCTGATGGTGAACATCAGAGAAGATCTTGCCCAACAAGTTCAGGTCCTGACAAAACAGATGGCTGAATTGCAGAGAGTCATTGACCAAGCAAGGATTTGCAGGGATGAGGCACCTCAGGCTGTGGTGATGTAGAAGTCAGCACCTGGAGCTGCCATCCCACCCAGGCGAAGGAGGAGAGGACCGTTCTTCTGCTACCAGTGTGGTCAAGATGGGCACAGGGCTGCCAGTTGCCAAAATGAGGAAAATCCCAGCTTAGTTTATGGAATGCTGAGAATCAGTTGCGAGAAGGTCTGGGGCAGGGGCCACCCAGGCCCACAGGATTTGAGAGATCCCCCGGAAAAGACGTCTCAGCTGGGATCCTTTCAGGACTGATAGGGCCTCGAACAGATGCTCAGGCACCTGCCCATCCAGCCATTGACTGGCCTTGGCATGTGTGGCCTCAGAATGAATGAATATCCCTACAAAGGGTATGTCATTGTGCACCTAGAATTCCCTGAGGAGGTGGCAGGGGTAAGAGAAGAAGTGGACACAGTAGCCCTGACACTAAAGGGGTCTCTGATGTGTCTGTGCTGATAGGGACCAACTCCAGTCTCTTTAAGGTGCTCGCAGATTACTGCAGACGACAGACTGGGGACCAATATCTGGACACCCTGATGATCCACGCCCTTTGGGCTGAATCCTATAGGAAAATTGAGGATGCTAAAAAGGAGATGTCTGAGCTACCGAGGGGGACACTGAGGTATGAGAGCACGAACCATTTAGTAGTGCCTGCAAGGATGGAGCAGAAAGTGCTCGTCATGAGTACCTGGCTGAAAGGCAATAAAGGTGTGTTTGCCATGGTAGAACAACCAACTGAAGGAGAGCTCCCTGAAGGGATCCTGGTCCCCAGTGGAGTTATAACCTTACCAGCAGCAGCCCAGGACTTGGTCACTGTACTGATTGCTAATGAAACAAGTTGTGATATTGTTGTAAATCGAGGGCAAAAGATAGAAGACCTCTTCGAGCCTGAATCAGTTGTGAATCCCCAGAGTGAAACTCAAGTTCCAACTATAGATCCAGTGAGGTTTGACTTTGGAGATTCACCCTTGTCCAAGGTGTGGAAGGATCACCTGAGGAAGAAGCTCTGTGAAAGACCCAAGGTATTCTCACTGCATGAGTGGTATGTCGGGTGTGCCAAAGGGGTTGAACATCAGGCTACATGATCCCCGACCTTTCAGGGAGAGATCTAGAAAAATTGTACTCTCAGAGATGGATGATGTGTGACATCAACTTCAGGAGCTGGCTGTGAATGGCATCATTATCAAGT